TCCATTTTTCTACATGTTGCTCAATTCTAAACAGGCAAAATAAAATCAGCTTTGTTCATGAGCATATGCTTTTGACATTTTTTCTTCTTGGAGCCTGTGAATTATTAATAAACTAATTTCTCTTTATAGTTCAATCTTTGGAGACTTAAAATGCTCACTCAAATGCACCGAACAAGAGGAATGCTTCAGCTCCAATCAGCTCCTGTCTTCTTTGGAAATGCTGGCCTTGAGGTATTTTTGAGTCTTTGAAATCAATCTTTTATTCAACTGGGGATTTCTGATGGCTTGGAGGTCTAGGCTGTTAATTCTGCCTAATGCCCTGTTTAAGTCTGGGGCATTTCAGTTGGCTGATTTTCTGTTTTTACTTTGTTAAGGGACTAAGAGCATCCCTCTCCCCCTTCACCACACCCCCTGTTTCTTTGTCACCAAGTAGAAACAAAAATGTTTGTTGGGCTCAACAAGTAAATGGGGGTGGGATGATCTAGAAAACATTCAAGATGGCACCTAAATGAGATCTTGCTGAGTTTTTCAAAGCCAATTTATTACAGCTTGATCAGGAGTGGAGGTGTCAAAGGGATCCCCGTGCTTTGTCCTGCAGCCTTTTGTCACGACTGCCTTAACTGAGGGTTTCTCATGCTGCTGGCGTCAGTAGCACTATCACAGTTAAGCCAGAGGAGAGAGGGGAATCAGGAAGAGAAGGAAGTCAGAGTGAGGTCCCAAAGCCCTGTGCACACCAGCCATTCAGGATTATGAACAGCCTGCAACAACTTGTCTGTCCAATTTTGTCTGCTGTCCTATGGATAGTTTGGACCAAGATGTGAACCTTAGGATAAGCACGCAACATCTTCCATACAGTGCTAGCATGAACCAGAAATCAGTAGATTAACAACCTTCACTAATCAACTGTGATTTCCCCTTCATCAGAGCCTGGGCTGAGAGCTGAACAAACTCATTTCATTTGTGACCCTGTATGCATGTGAAACAAAAGCTCTCAATGATAAAGCAGCACCGTTTGGTCCTTCCATTCTCATGCTTCTAAAAATACCCCAACAAATTACTGAAAAAGGTCCGCAAGAAATTTAAAAATAGGCTGAGGGAGTGGGTTACAAGTCACTGAGCTGCATGTGGTTAAAGAAAAACAACAAAAAAAAATCACAGTGCTAAATTAAGCTGTACAACACAATTTTGTTTACCAGAAATATTTAACTGGAGAAAACCACATTAAGGCAGTGGGCTCATTAACAAAAATGCCCTGTGCAGAGGTGGCTTCCCAGTTAACATGGGGGGGGGGGGGGGGGGGGTGGAAATCTGACTCCTGAAAGAAACAGAAAAAAAACAGTTAAAGAAAAACTTCTGGGTTTCTCTCACATGTCTGATGTGTTTCTCTTGCTTATCCCTCATTACTGGGGCTATTTGCATTGAAAACTGTGAGCTAGACTCTTGATCTCCTTCATGCTGGAGTATATCCGGAGTAGCTCTGCTGGGTGATGCAGAGCTCAGTGCAGCTCTGAGCTCTGGTCATGCAAACCCATAGCATGAGCAGTGGTGGTGGTAGCACAGAGGGACACAGCTGAGTTTTCTGTGCATGATTTATTTTCCATCTCTCTCTGAGGTCTCAGCAGCTCTACAAGGCCAGGAAAACATGTCCAAACCTGGGAAAGGGAAACCTTTTACTTTGCCGGTGTGAAGGAGGATTCCCATTGAGGAGCAAAAGCAATTTGGCTCCAGCCTCCCGTCAAGTCAATGGGATTCGTGCACCTCAGCCCATGAAGGTCTTTGGGAAATTCCAGCCATGAAGGTTAATTATAAGCTTTTAATTAATCAGACATTCACTATGGGCTGAAGTGGCCTGGCTGACTGAGCACCAGCCCAGGAGGTCTGTAATTAACACTGCTGGTGCCTGGGAGCTGGGGAGTGGAACAGCACTGAAGCAGCCTCAGGTCTCACGTGCAGGGTTCACTATACAGGATGGTGCTGGAGATGCTGCAGGGCCAGAGCTGAGCCTCAGGCTGCAGAGAGTGTTTGTGCCTTCGATGCTGACTGTGGTGCATTGGGCAAGTGGGCTTCACCCAGCTCCCCAGAGGTAAACAAGAGATAATATTTAGCAGGAGAACAGGTTGTAAAACAGGGGTGAAAAGAAACTAGTGGTCTATTATAACTTTTGCACTGAAATACTACAATAAATTGGCAGCTAGAATTAAAAATCCAAACTGGCTAGCTTTGAGAAGGTTTTGAAAAGAGTCTTCTTAACTTAAAATTGCCAAAAAAATTGAGGTAGCAATAAATGACATATCTGAACTTCTTTTTTTCACAAGTGTAAATGATAATTACTGAGCTACATAAAAGAATATAATCTGTAGGTGTTCTCTGGCCAGTTAAAGAACTATTGTTTGGCTGGTACTCCAGAGGTACCTGCGAAAGGGAGGGACTTGGCTCTCTGCCTGCAGAATATGGCCTGAGAGAGAACTTCTGGCCTCCCTCAAACTGATGGCAAAGTAGCAGTGACTTCAGGGGATCTGGAATTTCTCTCCAATAATGTTATTAGCAATGTTTCAATCCTCTTTAACTTAATAAAAACAAAATGGCAGGACCAGGGAGAGATGCTGATGAGGTAAGAAAAAAGCCATTTCATTTCTCCCAAAATAACAGGAACTCTGTATTTTTCCTTTGAATATATGCTGCATTTCTCAATAAAAGAGAAAATATGACATGGGAGAAAATAAATTTCAGGTGATGTACTGAAACCTTTTTAACCAGTTCATGGAAGCTGCATCCAAAAACTCCGAAAACAATATGAGGCCAGCAGGAGAAAAGGAAATAAATGTCCCCATTCCTGAAGGATGCCTGTGTCTTTAAGCAGCTGTTTCTTGTCTCTGAGGTAACAAAGTTGTCATGTGATGCATCTGTTACCATGGCAATAATCTGTAATTGTGCAGAAAATCCACCAAAGTAACGTGCAACTCCTCAGTGAATTGGACGGAGAGAAAAATCACCCCTGTACAAGCCTTGAATTGATGATGTTGTGAAACTGCATTGGCCAAGTCAGCCCAGTTTCACCTCCAATGAATCTCCTGTATGTATTTGCTCTGGTTCTGGTGTCTAGTTTTTGTTTAGTCTTTAAATATGTCCCTTGCTCATACATTCATGGCTGGTAAATGGTGTGCACCCTAGTGTGCACTTGCGCCTCCCCTGTCACATTCAGGGCACTTTTATAAAGTAAAGGATCTCGGCACTCCACTGTTTTGGCTAAAGGTTCAAGAACTGTAACTATTGAGCCATTCTTTTCAAGCACAGGTGATAAAATGGCATTAAATTTTGCACCCTGCTACAATTGCAATAGGAACGAGGTTCCTATATTTATTTTATCTCAATCTTCCAGTGGGGCAGCCTCCAACATCTGCATTGTCTCTGTGTCTTCATCAGGATGAGTCGTTCCAATGGCACCTTGGGAACAACTCCCACACACACTCATGCAGTATTTTTATTTATATATAATATATAGATTTAAATAAATCTGCTAGCAGGCCCAGTTCAATATCCTTTAAAACCGTCTGAAAATAGAAACACAAAAGGATGAGAAGATGAAATCTGCAAAACTTTCTTCCCTGCATTAGTCATAAAATAAACTGCTGGAATTTACAAAGAAAATCCTTGAACATTTTGGGTCATCTGCTCATGATATCATAGGGCTAGAAGTGCTTGCTACTATCCAAATCAAAACGCCAGAGAAATCTCATGAGAATATGCCTCGTGGGCAAATCCCAAAAGGAGAACATCTGGATTTAAGATGCCATTGCCCTGTACTTAACCCTAAGCCACTGAGAAAAATGACTATTCTCCTGCTCTCACTCTCTCTATGTTATTAGTAAATATTTATACTATACAAACACCCAAAGGGCTCAAATAAGAGTAGACTTCCATCTTGAGGCTTGTGCAGGCTTAACAGAGGGATGAATCCCCCTCTGCTCTGAGGAGCTTGTTCCTTATTTACTTTGCCTTTCAGCTATAGTGCCGTAAGTTGCCTCACGCCCAGCAACTGACTGATTTCATGCTATTGGCTATTAGATGAGGCCCTCGATAGGAAGAGGAAAACAAAAGGTGTTGCATTCAGTGGTGTTAGTTCAGCTGAGGCAACTCAGAATCAGTGAAAACTCTATTTAAATTGTGCCCACACCAGCAGCCCCACCTTTAGCTTTGCCTACCCAGGTTCTAATATAACCCATTTATCTTGAGTTAATAACATAAAACTGCTTTGTCCTCCCTTGTACTGTAGAAGGTGTTAGACTGATGTGGATGATTTGATACTGCATCACACTGAAATTCAAGCCTAAAACCACACCTTCTCACAGCATGGCGTTTGCAAATGAATAGATTGGGAGTTTCCCCCACCCTTCCTGCTCTTTGAGGCCAACATGAGTGCTTCATCTGCAGAAGTGGGGCTATATCTGAGGTTGGAAAGACTTTACAGAAAGTCATTTGCTCTCTGGCACGTGTTCACCAGCTGAACTCAACCCCACTAAGTGGACAATCTGAGATCTGCCTTCCTCCACACAATTTTAAAAGATGTATTCTGACATCTTAGTTGTGGGGCCTCATCAGATCATAACCTGAGCCTCCTCCAGCCATTCCTGAAGGGGAGAGGTATGACCCAGTGTAGAACAAAAGTAGCTTCCAAACTGCCACAGGACCTTTTTTCATCTAAAGAGTTTGCCTCCAGCCTCCTTCACTTGGTGGTTTCTGACGAGATGAAAACAACCCAGTAGCACCCTGGATGAATCTCCCCATTGCTGAGGATGTTCCCCATTTGTGCATTCCTCAACACATCTGACAAAGGGAAAACAAAATTAACATAATTAATTGAAGTAGGGCCTGGGCTGGACTTCTTCACTTTATTCAACAAGGACCCAATCAGAGCAAGGGACCTGAGCTTATAAGGGCTTTGGGAGGAGCAGGAGGGAGGTGGGAGTTGGTTTTGAAGCTTTACTTTTGCCTAGGTGCCATATGGCTGGTGTTTGAGAATTATATGTTGTTGTTATAGCTAAATTCCTTTTTCCCTGGGGGACCTGCAGAAGAGGTAAGGGAGTGGTATGTGATGAATCTGGGAGCCATGCAAGGGAAAGGGTTGACTTAGAGCACAATAAAACTGGGTCTTCCTGGGATTCTGAGCTTGGCCCTGTAATGGTTGGCTCTGTTGTGAGGGTCTGCTGCTTCTCTCTCATCTCTTTGCAACTTTCCTGCTGCACATGCTTTTTACCTCAAGAGTCCTCCTCGAGATGACTCCATGTGTTCTCTCTGCCTTGTGAGATAGGAAAGCTGGTGTGGCCACTGTGGGAAGCCAGGAAGCTGTGGCTGAAGCAGAGCTGTTCTGAAATAAGTGCTTAGGAATGCTGTGACCTCTTGCCTCACTGAAGCACACTTTGGTTTCTTTTTTTTCAGAGAGCACATAAAAAGAGCTGTTTGTACATAGCTTTAATCTGTTTGCACACATGCACAGATTCAACCAGGGGAGGTGGAAAGGAGAAGGGATCACTGCTCTGCCCGTTTTAGGTGTTTGAGATTCTAGACAGCTGTGACAAACTGCAGTCTTTTTACTACCTTAAAAAAGCATAATGGACCACTTTGGTAATTTTAGCTGCAAATGCACTTCTGCTGTATCATAGAACAGTGCTTGAGTATGAGAAAAAAGAGAGAAATACTAGAAGCACAGAAATAATGTGGTGACAGGCCAGAGAACAGCTTATAACACACCCACAGAGTGTTTCCTGTGGAAACAATATTCTCCTGGTTTTGTCCAAGATGCTCTTGCTTGCCTGGTTTAAGAAGTAATTTCTCAGAGATGTATTTTAGATGTTCCCCTCTTGTAAACTCTTCACAGTTTAATACATTGCAGCTTTTCTGCTGGCCAAGTTTGAATCACTGGTTTAAAATTGCACCCATCACCACAGTCATCAATATCACTGTTAACTTCCCGTTTCCTCTTATCCCAGGCTCTACCTAATGATTATAACCTGTGATCCCAGTTTGTGCCGTGTAGATGGCTTAAGAAGCTTGTAGATCTCAGTCTTCCCATTATTTGGATAAAGCAGATAAATAAGGTAAGTGGTATGTGTATAAAAGTGGATTTAGGTGAAGTCTCATGAGATCTGTGTGGGCATTGCCTGAAAAGAAAGATGAAAACTGTGATGAAAAGTGTGGAGTATGGACCTGAGGGAGGGAGGGAGTGATGGCACTTGGGGAGGGTGTCTGTTGGTGTGCTACTACTGCTGTATAATGGGAACAGAAGCTTTGAGGCTCTTCACAGACTACAGTGGTTGCTGGATCTAGCTGGGAAGGAATTGTCTCTTGGATGATATTACTAGGGTCACTAGGATGTAGCATGCAGTATAGCTCATGGGGTAGGTCCTCCTAAGGAGGTCTCACCCAATGAATGCTTGCCCTGAATGGGGCTTAAGGGGTTTCTGGCACTCAATCTCCTGTTGCAATCACAACACAGCAGTAGTGAACATTTCATTGCTCGTGGCATACCATGGGGTGCAGTGCAGGCCCTGTGGGGTGCAAAAGCTCGAGTGAGGGATGCAATGCTTTCTTCCAGTCTCGAAGTCTGTGAAATGGAAATTGAAGGTAAATTTGATTCAAACAAGAAGCCGAGTTGTGGCTGTGTTAGGTTTTACGTTGCTGTGTGGTGATCGGTGGATATTGGTGGGCAGTGAGGGAGGCTGTGTGGTGGAGAAAGGTTTTGTGAAGGGCTTCATTAGCACCAACACAGTAGAAGGGTCTGCTGGTAGCTAAATGCTGTGGTGTGAGGGGGAGCCTGAAAGGCCAAAACTGTGCTTTGGGAGGCTTTGGTGTTTGTGTAAAGCCAAGTGGGGATGCACTGAATGGAGCTGGGGAGCAAAGAAGACTTTAGGTTGTTTAAGTATTTTAACAGAAATCTCAAAGAGCAACAGATATTACCAGAAACATTTCACTCTGAGTCAATAAAACTGATCCAGTTTTTGTTCAAAAAAACCCCTTCAAGCCTTTAAAACTAACAGTTCAAATCCTTTAAGGGAGCCAATACACGGGCTTGTCTTTCCATAGGGCTTACTGGCAGTTTGCTCCAGTTACTTTCCATGCCTTTTTGAAAGGGATGCTGCTTTTCAGGCACATATTTCTGGTATACATCTTCCCAAAAGTGTTTGGATCTGTATGTAATCTGAATGGTGGTGGCTAAAATAGTCCATATGGCTCCAGACCAGGAGAATGTGGGGCTGGATATCTTAGGAGGTCATCTTGTCTCTCACTCTGGGACACTCATTCTCCTCCAAAGGCTGAGCAACGTGCTCAGTTACAGATGTAACTGAGCGTTACATCTATCCCTGCTGGGCTTGCCATGCACTGCTGGTTGGGACAGCAGGAAAGGACGGAGCTGCAAAGTCTCCCGAGAGGGAGTACATTTCTTCTCCCATATTTATCTACCTACAGATATGGATACCTACACACACCTCTACCTTTCTCCCACCTCCTTTTCTTTCCAAGCCCTGAGATTTGGACATAATATTTTTATATTGCTTCAGAAATCAATCTGTTACTTGACTGAGAATAAGTAATGTAGCTACATACTTCTGAACAGTTATATGTGCGCGATCTGTTCGTATGATATCCTACAGTCTTCCTAACATCTGGTTCTAGCCAGTTGCTATCAGCCCCGTGGTTTTATAAGCCCTAAATTAATTCAGTTTTTAATGCAGGGGGGAAAAATACAACCCGAAAAGCATAACATTTACAAGCATTTTTTGTGGGAGTGGAGACAGGAGGCCAAGTTTTGCTCTCAGGCAGAGTCCAGCCTTTGCATTTTTGGGTGGGCCTCTGAAACCATATTTTTTCCTTAAGTGGCCTCCTTTTCAGCCAAACTAAACTGATTCCTGTCAACTATTATCACTCCACTGTTGAATGGGTTTGGCATAGAAACCTGCGGGAGGGACAACAAGATGGCTTTTTGGAATGCTTTTCAAATACTAACTGAACTGCTGTATATGCAGTGTTCATGTGTCCCTTGGTTTCTAGGAAGGGGGAGAGAGCGATAGGTGGTTTCATGTATCTGGTGGCTTAGCCTGCCTGTTTTCCCACTTGGTGTCCATCAAGTGCTGTGTTCAGTGGAGCTAAGGGGAGATAACTTGCTTACCCATTAGGCTGCAGCATAGCAGGGTCCCTCCCCAAGAAACTTTTTCAGTGCAGCTCTGAACTTGCAAGAGAGAAACTCTATGCTCCAAAGTCACCTGCTCAGGATCAGCAGACTACTAAGGTTGGATTTTTATTGAGCACATATGAGACAGTAGATGATCCAAAAGCACAAGGCTCGTTCAAATCTCTCCCTAAGAAAACCAGACTTCTAGAAAAGCACTGCCACTGAGGCAGTTGCTAACACAACTGGCAAACCCATCAATAACCAGATGCATTTCTGGGGAAACCCAAACCCACATGCAGTTTGCAAGAGGGTTGACCAGCTGCTGACTTGCTGTTGTAGCCAAATTACCTGTTTACGATCATGCTACCCTTTGTATTCTCATCCCAGTTTGGTGTTCAACCCCTTCTCCCATGCTAAGACTCTAAGGCGATAGTGACACGCTGAAGGATGAGACATGTCCTTAAATATTTTGAATTATAACTGTCCTGAATAATTTCCCTCAGATCACCAAGGCCACTGAAAACTTCAGCAATACTAGCACAGATACCACATAGCAGTGGTCCTGTTTGGCCTTTAATGGAACAGAACTGCATTCACCGGAGAAAGGGAGACAGCAAACCAGAAACTGCTCATATTTGAGTCACTGAAGGGTTGTAGTTCACATATGGATGAAATTTGGCTCTCAAATAACATAATGTAGTTATAAGTGGAATAAATCTGGTCCATCACTTCTTTTTCTGCCTGTTTTGTTTTAAAAGACAAACTATCCTCACATTACATATGCACATAAAACATGGGTAGTTGAAACGGGTAACTGCGCAAGGCTCTGAGTAGGACTTGATGGGTTCTTTTGTCCAAGCCTCACTTTCTGGAAAAGATCAGAATGAACAGACACATCTCCTTGTAGAGATCCTGCCTGCTTGCTCCTAAACTGTGACTGGTAATGGTGTGGCAGGAATTCGGATCCTGCAGAACTGCATATACGTTTCCACAGTTATTTTTCTGTTGTTACCAAACACTCAGAGAAAGGCTATGCTGTGGTCATATAGACAGGAAAATGACATCATGCTTAAAACCACTAATCCAAAAGCTTTGGAACCTGAAAGACAAACTGTATTCTAATTAGGACAAAAAAAAAAAAGAAAAAAAAAAGAACAAAACCAAACCCCAATGACATTTGAAATGGAGAAATTTCTTGGATTATTATTATTTTAAAATCTTCCCCTGGCTTCCCTTCCAGCCAGAGCTGTGACAAGTGCATTGGAGCTGATAATAAACACACACCTCTGAGGTCACAGCTAGGATTTTTAATTTAAATAAATAAATAAGGATGAATTTTCCAGTCTCCAGGGATCCAGCACTCAGGAGCATGCAGCACAGAGTGCTCTGCAGGGTCAGTGTGGAAGATGGGGGGTTTTTGCTGTTTAGCATAGATGGGTTTTTCCATTATTTGAAAATACAAAACAGCTTAAGTCTGTACTGCTCCTCCTCTGAGGTTGGTAGGTGGTAACAACAGGCTTTGGGATGGTGATACTTTGTAGGGATTATTCACTGCGTGGGAAACCCCAGAATTACTCACAGCAGGCACACTGTTTTAGGAGGTCAGCAGATGTGACCAGCTCATCCTGCTGTGGATGATGACAGCTGGCTAGAGAAATGTTGAAGAAACCATATTCCACCAGCTGCTGGGTTCTGCATGTCTCGGTGCTGCTGCACCTCTTGGAAATGAGTCAATTTTGTTTTGGGGGGGAAAACAGGGCGGAGGAATCCCAACAATGTTAAAATCTACTTACTGACACACAAAAAAGAAAGAAAAAAAAGCCTGTTTCTTAATCTGAAACAAATTTTCCCTTAAATTTCTTAGCATTTTGTGGGAGCTAATTGGAAATTGATTGAAGCAAAATTTAAATATTTTAATCCCCCAAATCTGCTTTTCTTTTTTTCTTAGAAACTTCTTTTGTAGAAAACTGAATTCTGAAGGGAGAGGAGGGTGTAGTTACTTAGATAAAACAGCAACACTTTGAACTCCTAATTATAAGCTCTTTAGTAAATGCACCTTCCATCCTGAAGCCAGTTCACCTCATTTCCTACTTGAGTCTAAGTAATTGCTCAAATACATCCTCACCCCCTCCCCAAAATGAGATACCCATAATTCCCGAAGATGCATTGCAGAAGCTGGTGTCTACAGAGACACTTGAACCAACACTGTATGTCATCTCCACTCAAGAAATTCTGTTTGAGTAGTCCTTTGTTTTTGCATGATCAGTTACACTGCAAGCTAGGCAAATGGGCTTCCCATCCTCTGCCTCTCTTCACTTTACCGCTATCCCCATCTGGAGTATAATATAATGAGAGTAGTTATAGAGGCTGTTGCAAGGAATCACCTGCTATCATGCACCTGCCAACAGGGGGGATTAGCTGTCTGCTTCTTTTAGGAATGGAATAAATCCTGACATATTTTGAAAATGTACCCTCACTTGCTTCTGAATTTCTGTTCTGCTCGGTTTCATCTCGGTCATAGCTGGTTTTCTAAAAGTGCCACTATTCATATTGAATTTGCACCTTGCAAGCACCTGCAGGCTGATTGTTTAGCATGGACTGTTCTTTATTGATTTTTTTTTCCCTTTTTCTTTTGTGTTCTGCTTTGTTTTATAACATTTCGTGGGGTAGACAGAAACTTTACGCGTACTGGGCTATCTTACTAATAGGTTTCACAACTCTCTTTGAGTATGGATTTAGCAGGGTCTTTGCTGGTTCTTGCTTATTTCTTTTTCCCACAGAAATGAAAGCAAGAAGCAACGTGATAATGTTATAGTACTAATCAGTATTTCCCATGACTGCCTTTGTGCAGACCACCAAAATTATTTAGTTGCTGGGAGAGGGCAGATCGCATGAGGTCCTCTAGACTGAACATTTCATGAGGCAGAG